GCGGACCAGTGAGCTGCGGCTATACAGGCCCCTCTCCCTCCCCTCCCTCTCGATGCATCCCAGTCATGTTTTTACTGCATGATGCACCGATGCAGTCTCATGTTCCACCACTATCAGTCAGCTCACCTCACCTCACAACTCGAGATCAGCTCACTTACGGCTGGATTAATTAGCCAGGTGTGACCTGGATGACTGGCATCTCTCCAGGTGGCTATGTCTGACCTCTGCTCCCCAGGTGACCCCGCCTGACCTCTGACCCTTTGCCCGAGCTGAGAGTGATGGACAGTCACGGTTCCTCATGTATCGCTGATTTACGATCCGATCAGGCTCGCAGCGGCACCTGGCTGCTAATTTCAATGCGGCGACCTCAGTTGGCGCTTCCGATCGCGAATTTACCGACCAGAACTCCGCGCTGCGCCCATCCGGACGATCTTCCAGCCGCTCCGCTGATCCGTCGAAGGCGGACACGTTTGTCGACTGGAATCCTTGACCGGTCGTGTCTGATACCATCTGTAAGGCGCCTGGGCCGCGCGGCTGAGGCGAAAAACTGGCCGTCGGGCGCTCGTCTCTGACCGGTCGGCTGAGGCTGGTGGCTGGTGGTGAGCTTACAGCTGCAGTGGTTGGGGAACGGAGACGTTCTATGAGGTCGAGTGGTCAGTTGAGCTGTGACATGCTTTAGGTAAGCGTTAGCTGATTTGTGTTGAAAAAGACATGCGTGGTTTGTTTGATGCCCAACTAAATTAATAGGCATCGAACATGCGCTGTGAGGACCAAATTCAACAAATTTTAAAGGAGAACTTCGGTGAACAAATTGGGCGAACCAATTCAATAATATGGGTTCTAGTCTGTAGATATTTCGTATGATAATCCATCGCGTTCCATGATCTCCAGATAAACACAGGCAGCACCCAAACACTATTGAACCTGGGCGATCGAACCCGCCCGCATACATTATGCAAATGCGAATAATGAGTACCGATGGCCTCGTTCGATCAAATCTGACATCAAACACCCTGAATTAGAGTGGGGGTGAAGTGTTAGCGTTAGTTGGTTCGAGTGTTTGGCTGAATTCTCTTTCCACGCTACGCTTGCGCGTCACGACCTGACGTGACGGCGCGGCTGTTCGAGCCTCGAGGGAGAGACGGGGACCACCCAAGGTGTTTATTATTATGACACGCCTGCTTGGCCATCAAAGTTTCGGTTCCATTGTTCGAAGAATGCCGTGATGTTCTGGAGGGGTGTGTCTGATTTTCGCCCTCTCCGTGCGCGTGTTATCCGCCCTTTCCTCGGCTGGCGGACCTCGCAGAAACAAGACACGCTGGAGCCGCCCATGGGCGATTCGGCTGCCTCCGCCCATCGAAGGCGGCTCACCCCCGCCCCGCCGTCTCTGCCGCCCCCGCTCCCGCCCTGCACTATCCCCTCAACCCCTGACCCTTCCGTGCTGCCGTCTCTTATAACGAGCCCCTGCATCCACTGTTGCATGCCCAACGCACCCGTCAGCTTGTTTGCACCTGTCCGTCTGCCTGTCTGTTCTTCGGCTGTAACCCTTCCACCCTCTCTCTCTCTCTCTCTCTCTCTCTCTCTCTCTCTCTCTCTCTCTCTCTCTCTCTCTCTCTCTCTCCTCTCTCTCTCTCTCTCTCTCTCTCTCTCTCCCCCTCTCTCTCTCCCTCTCCCTCTCCCTCCCTCTCCCTCTCCCTCCCTCTCTCTCCCTCTCCCACTCTCTTCCTCCCTCTCCCTCCCTCTCTCCTTTTCTCTCTCCCCATCTCTCCCCCTCTCTCCCTCTCGTTCCGCCCTGACAGCCGGGTGGGTCCGGTCACGCCTGCCGCGGCCTCTCGGGGTGTGCCGAGGTCACTCCCAGACGGACACGCACCCTATAGCTGACCTTACTGTAGTCTGGCGCTGACCAGAGAGGGACAGTCTCAGTCGGCGCTGGAGGCTGGTGCGGAAGTGTGGTGGTTGAACGGGCTCGGGCCTCGGCTGGTGTGAGTTTCTGATTTGGTGTTTGGATTGTCTCAGCTTTGCTGTGGGTTTCGTCAATATTTTAGCTGCAACGGATTCTGCCGATAACTGAGAGGCAGTGATGTTGATATCGCTCAAACGTGCCTGGGATGGCTGAGATTTGCCTAAACGGGTTCGCCATCTGTTTAATGCCGTTTTCCGTATTGTTCCGACGAACGATCCAGCAGTGAGCATTCGAGGTTTGTCCGGAGGCCGCCGACTCACGGACGGAGTTACCGATCGCTGATCTCGCGCACGCCGGCTCTTATGGGTGTAGTCCAGAGATGGGCTAAAATCATCTGTACCAACCGACCCATCTAATATGTGAGCCAGCTACCTATCCACGCAGACTGCCAACCCTTCCCCGCTCTGATCGTTTAACTGAAGGCCTCCGCGGACCACAGCTCTGATGGCGCTGTGATGGCCCTCCCTGGTCAGGGGTCAAGGGTTATCTGATTGCCGCCGCCGTTAATCGGTCTGATTGGCGGTCGATACGACCGGCATGCCTTCCGGGGACGATTCACTCTGCCACATGCCGATGATGTTACTCAGTGACGTCAGTTTGGTGACGTCATATCTGTTAGATTTCCTCGGGCTGAAGGACCGAGTGGGGGGACGGAGGCGGCTGGCTCCTGCCCACCTGCATTAGCCGGTGTTGATACTGCACAAGGCCAGTGACGGTTGAGGCACGTTGAGGTCTCCCGATAGCCGTACATACGCGAATGGGGCGGCACTGCCCGGGAAATGTACCGCTATATGTGGCGAAGGCTGGTGTTGATCGAGAGATTGCTTGTTCCGGGTGTTTCCCTTCGCTAAGTTCGTGTTTTGACTGAAGGAATGTTAGCACGTGTGGTGAGTTTCTAAGCAATCGCACCGCTTGGCATTCACTTTTTATTTGATTTTAAACTGCTGGGTCAGGTTTCGCATTGCAATGGTTTCAACTGTTGCGCTGAGTTTTCGCTCCTCACTGTTGTGCTGGACGTTTTATGACATTATTTTAAAATTAAACCTGGTATGACTTGTTAGCGGCTTAGTGTCCCCTCTGAACCTTCAACTCAGTATTCACCCGAGGCCAAATCGCTCCTTACAAGCTTGTCAGAGGTGTGGGTCTCAGCTCTCATCTTATCAAGTACCTGCAACTATCGAGTGTCAAGTGGCATTCATGATGACTTTCCCAGGTATGCGGCCTCTAAGGCCACGCGCGTTTTCCTCTGTGATTGTTCGCCTCTGACTTTTATCAAGGTGCGCAATGCCTACACAAGATAGATCCGTGTTGTGCCATTATCGTTTCCCGACTCATGTGACCACCTGGTGCCGGTTCGCGGTGCCGTACTGATTGTGAAGTCCGTCCGGCGGCGGTCGCTCTCAGATGTGCCGACCGACACTCTGTGGCGGTCGCTCTCAGGCGGCACTCTGACGGCAGAGGCTGATCGGTATCGAAACCATGACAATGCCCAACGCCGTCACCGGAGCGCAGCATGCAAATCCGCCGGCGAAAGTGTCCTCACTCGAAAGTGTCTCGTCGGAGCGCCGCGCGGCCGGTCGTCGCTCCTCCGTCCCTCTTTCTGGCAGAGTGGTAGGAAGTGCGCAAAAGGAATGTGTGGGTTGCAGGAACGGGAATAGATAGACGGATCGATGACAGTGCGATAGGAGAGATACGGCAGAGATAGCAGGTGGCATTGTCCGAGGCGTAGGTCACACGTGCCGCTTGTAGTCATCATGTGACCGCAGGCTGAGTCAGCAGCAGGAAAATCGGCAGCCACCAGGCAGAGGCTGTCACGAACTCGTCCCATCTGCATTGCGGCCTAGCCAATTGACCGCCAGCTAACCGGGTATGTCATTTACATGTGTCCTTGGTTTACTTTATACGGGCGTCGGGCAGCGATACTATTCAACGTTGAGCGAGCCAGCGTATTGCTATGGAGACTCGCTGGACAGTCGCCAACTCCCTGCAGTCCTGTCCGTCCTAACCTGGCCGTCACGGGTTTCCGCGTGCGGTGTCCCACGAGTGGTGATACCTTCTCCCTGTCGCTGCTGCGGATGCCACTGTTCCGTGCCAGACTCCGTGCCGGCCGCCGTGCCGCTCCGCTGCCGGTGAACCGGCCGGGACGTGGACCGCCCGCCGCAGCGGCGATGACCGTATGTGTGTAGGTGACCTGCTTACCGGCCGGTACACCGGGCGGCAGACCGGTGTCGGCCCGCCAGCCGCCCGCCTGCCTGCCTGCCTGCCTGGCATACAGGCTGACCGCGCTGCGCGCCTGGCGGGCGGTTCGCCGACCAGGCCCGGACGAGTCAGAGCGTTCCAGTGAAGGCGTTACAGCCGCCGTCTGACGAACTTAGACGACGGGTTACCGGGCGAACCGTATGGGGTGTCACGTCTTCACTCAACAATGGATGATTATCGGAGAGGTGTGCCTGGGCAGGGCGGCCACCAACCGGGAGGCGGTCCGATACTCGCCGCTCTGAGACATATTTTTGTTTTATGATGTCTCAAGGGTGCTGCTTTAGGAAGAGGTCAACACTTCATATGATTACGTTCTAGTGAAATTTATATAAATGACTTCCTGCGAACTTTCCAGTGTGCTCACTCCACCGAACAATATGTGTACTCGTGGTTCCATCGTGGTCACGTCCATGTGGGTTCGCTGTAATTTTCCGTCCGGGCGGATCCCAGTCTGTGATTTCATTACCGGGAAAATGACCGCATGAGTGTCTCAGCAGTGGTTTATTGGGCGGTGACGCGTTATTTCATGCCTGTCTGCGTGCACGTTAGTGGAGAATCCGTCAAAACAAGTCCTGTTTGGACACTTTCCGTAGTACGTGCACGTGTTAAGTCTGTATTCCTCGTCTCCGCGCCTACTAATAGAACTGTGTTAGGTATCTGTAGTCTTGAATGACATTAAAGATTACGCTACGTTCTATGCTATCCGGTCCAGCTGTGAGTGAGTGTATTATAAGGACGTGTGTAAACGTCTTCTGACGGCTCGTCCTTTTTTTTCCAGTGAATGTAGACGAGCGCCTCCGACCGAGTTGCTGCCTGGCCGACTACAAGCTGCAGGAGGTCACTGTGGTGCCTCTCAACAGTCGCACCAACACGGTACGAAAACGGATAGGACTATCCAGTGGGCTGGAGGACCGAGCTGGCCGTTACCATTATGTAGGGAAGTTTTGAAGCAGGTGGGACGTGTTCCAGTCTGTTCTTCGGGAGTGTTTGGAAATGTGTGCCGAATCCTCGCTTCACTGCGTGCTCACCTAGAATGCCTCCTTCCACCTTCTCCAAGCTGTTCCATTTTGCGAACAACGGCTGGGCGACGCCATCTCTAACCCTGAAAAAATGAATAGTGGCGTCCGAGTAAGAGCCCATGTTGAGCTTCGCCAGCGCGGCGGCTACAGCCAATTCGCCCGGTGTGCTATTTCCTCTGCACCGATGGGAACGTCCCCGGGTATAATCTCACCCCTTCTCACCTTTGACGGCACACTCTTTGACGTCACGTGACCCCAGACGGCCGACCCGAGACCCATCTGCTGGGGGAGGGTGCGGAAGGGGGCTGAGGCCGCGGCTGGGCTATGGGACACCCTCGTGCTACCAACTGAGGTCACAGCGGCGATCCGCGCGACGGGGACCGGTAGTCTATCCCACTGAGCCGGGCCCTGCCACCGCCGCGCTGTACCGAGGTCAGCGGCGGTTGATGCGGGCTCTATGGGCGCCTCTCCCACGCCAGGTTAACTGAGGCCGCGCTGGCCCGGTCCCGCCTTGGCGTCTGTGTTCACTGTTCAGGGCGGCGCTCACACGTTAGTGGTACAGGTGGGAGGTTGTTATCGCACTCATTCCTCGCAGGGTGTCATTGGTGTCGCGCCTGGGAGTGGGAGTGTATGTCTTTACTCGTCGCCACACAGAGTGGGAGTGTTGGTCTTAGGGTTAGAGTGTATGCTGTGCTACAGAGAGCGATTGTTTGCTTGCTGAGTCAGAGTTATGTCGAGGACCGCCATGGGACTGTGTGAACTCAATGAGTTATGTGAGAGTATTTGAGCTCACAGATATTCTCTCTGTTTGTTTCAGGTTTTGTCCTCAGCAGACATTATCGCCATGCAGAAGAAATCTGATGGGAAACGTAAAATCTTCGCCATCTTTGGCAAAAAGAGCAAACCGGTAAGTGTGGCATTTCGGCGAGGCAGCTGGAAAGACTTAATTGTAACTTATCGTATGTCTAGAGAAGTGCATGGCATCACTCGCCGAAAAGTTGTCGCCCTGAAAAACGTGCTAAACGTTTAGGAAATAATTAAAACAGTATAATAAATGTTAAGAATTAACCCTTTCTATAAATAACGTCATCATGAAGTTCATCGCCGTTCTTCGAGCTCTCCGTCACGAGTCATTATTCGGATGCCTCCGCTCAGGCAACTAACGATTCACCACCGTATTCCGTGCCTGATCAAGGGCCCTTGAAGGCTCCTCTGTGAGCTCATCTCGGCACGGGGCCCGCGGGCCGACTCCCACCCTCGAACACGTTCCAACCTCCGTGCGCCAGCCGAGGGGACCGTTAGCTGAAGGTCAGAATTGAGATTTCATTGAACAGGCCGCGGGAAACGCCGACCTGATGGGCTGCGGCGGCTGGCAGTTCGTGCTACAAATGGTGTCATGTTGAGCTGTTTGATTGCGGTTATGGTAGTCGGCCAGCGAAAACGTGCTTCTCGGGCGGGCGGTGAGGTAATGAACATTCCCCCTGGGGCTGTGGAGGCTCCGACGGGTCGGTGGTGGCCCGGAAACTGCTCCGTTCCGGCGGACCGGCACGTGGGTCGCCTCGGATACCGCCTCTACCGGCCGTCCCGTGACGTCTGATAACGCAGCCTCCGAGGGCGCAATCTAACGCAGCCTCCGCGTGAGCACTATCTTCTACTATACGGCTCTATCTCGCTGTGAGGGAGACGGGGCCGGACTGAGCGTGCCTGGGCTATAGAGTGGGTCTTTCACAGGCCTATGTGTCTATAGGTGGGTACGACTCTCGCTCGAGTGGCTGTCGATGCGGGCAGCGGCGGCGGTGTTGGTTAGACCACTGTCCGTTCATGATGACCCGACATTTGCGGCCGCTACTCCGGAGAAAACTGCAAGCTGAGCCCGGGATACGGCCTCCGCGGGCTGTGGAGCGTTGAATGACCGCTGTCTCCAGTGATGGGTTTCCCTGGTGCGACTTTCCCTGGGCTACCGCCGCTGGGTCGTTAGGAGCCGTCTGAGCACCCCGAGGTCGGTGTGTCCCCCTCTGGCACCCCTCTGCTGGTCCACAAATGTGGGCCGCGGGGCCACTGCAGCCTGGCACGGGGTGTGGGCGTGGGACAGGCCTCAGTCACGCCGCGCTGTACTGGTTCGATCGTAACTCGCCGCCTTCTGCCACTGCCTCCCCCACAGACAGCCGGCCACTCCAGCGTCATCGGTGACGTAGTCCCAGGGGGCGTGATAAAACTTCGTAAAACTGCCCTATAAAACACCCCCGGAAGGCCAGCTTACGTGGAGCGCGGCCGTTTACCAGAATCACCGCTGATGGTGTCGATAGCGGCGCAGGCATGCCGTTTATCCTGATGTTCCACAGAAAACACCGCCCGTGTTGGCCTATCAAGGCATGACCTGCTAAAACTTCCGTGCTGTCGCCTGACGCTACCGACTATCTGGCTGTGTGGAATCCCGACTGTAAGCATGACAGGTCGTGCGGCCGCCGACCGTTGCGCCGGGTGAACATCGTGCCACTGTCCGGTGTCACGTGCAGGCTGCTGTCGGCAGGCCGCGGACAAATGGTGTGGACTGCATCCCATTCGAGCAGCGCGGCTTCCATTGAGGCTCGGATGACTATCGTCCATGAAATGAGCCGCTCTGTGTCTGATAAACGGTCTCGTTTGGTGCACGCTTTCTGTGTTTTGCCGTCGGTGGGCGGGCCGAGCGGGTGGTGTATAAATTCAGCAGGTGACGACACAGCCGCAACTGGGCCACAGAGCTACTGACCGCGGCAGGAACGCCACCGGAGAGAGAGTGTGGGAGATTCGGAGAGAGGGAGGGAGGCGAGATGGCAGCTGCATCATCCATTGAGCTCAATGATGTTTGCGGTGGACCGGCGAGGCATTCATTCAGTCTCCAGTGTCCCTGATTCTGTGCCGAGAGGGCCATTCTGTTGGTGCAATCTCGCCGCCTGAACGCCGTTTGCAGAGTTGCTCAACCAATTCCGCCGAGCGGCTCCAGCTGGTTTGCTCTGCCGTCGGCACACTCGGCCCACTCGGTCACCCGGTCCAGGCTTGATTCTCCGGCCGCACCCAGATGGTTGAGTGCTTGTCAATTTGGCTGGAAGCCTTCACCTTTCTCTCTTCATCACGACTTTTCAATCCTTTGTTGTCCCCGCTCTTCACCCCTGGTTTATTCCAGGTGACGCGAAAACTATCCCGGGGTTAAGTATTGAGTTTTTTGCCCAGTGATTTTGCTGGTTACGTTTTTACAACGTCTTGAAGTCTTATTTCAGTGACTACCTTATATGTTCCTCTTCGTGCAGTCATATGACTGCCTTTGTAGTTACGTACTCGGGACCGCGTTGCGTATAATACAGCCGGTGTATGACCATGGACCTTATCTGCCGCACCTCATGACCCGCTGTAGTCGGTCCCAGTATTCGGGCGGCGGGAGTACGGCGGGAGGTACGAAGCGGCGGCGTTTTTACAATGTTTGCCCGGCTGGCCGATAGTAGGCCTGGGTCTGTGAGGCTGGGAGCACAGGTAGGTACAGACTACCGATCTCTGGACGGAGATGGAGGGTACCTCTCGACGTTGGGTATTGATTGAGGTGCTCTCAGACCTAAAGTGGAGCCTCCGTTAGCATGGGTCCTATCGCCACTTGAGCTCATCTGTACCGGTGCCGATGTTAGAGACGGGATGTATCTGCAGTTTGCAGTGTCATCCGCTTATTGCTGAAGCGGATGACATATCCAGCTTCTTTTGCCCTTTCGGTTTATGGTGGCTCATCGCTGAAATTTGGTCAGTCAGAGGCTATATTTAGGCCACAGGCGGCCATCAGGTACCCATCGCTTCCTCCGTAGGTACTCGTTCCATCTCCCACGTGAGTCTGTGAACGCTACTGCTGCCGGTAGCGACAGGTGTCCCCTGAGTCATCTGTCCCAGTCCGTCTCCGTGGGAACGGTCCGTTCGGGCAGCTCTCTCCTCGCCGAGCCGTTCCCGACCACTGCCACCGTGTGTCACTGCCGCTGTGCTGTCCTGTACGCGCCACTGCCGCTCCAGTTCTGGGTCACCGTGACAGGAGACTCCGTTCGCACAAACGGCTACGCGGCAGATGGTGGCCGGTGGCACTGGGACGGTTGATGAATTTGTCGGGCGATAGGGAACCTGAGCCTGCCTCACGGAATGTCTTCTGGCACTTGTTTGATTTTTTTTTTGGGGGGGGGGGGCTAGGCCTTTCGGTCTGACGAGACAAGACGAGACTGTTGTTTGCCGTATTTTACGTATCCAGATGAAACACTTTGACTTTTGACCCATTTGCGCCTTGGCAATTGCACGATTCGTCAGAGACCGTCAACGTGTCTGTGAGGCAGATCCCGGTCCACTCAGATGAGCCGCTATGAATTTCTCACCCGTGTTTTCTCCTTTAGCTTGACTGATCCTTCTTCGTTCTGTTTCAGTCTGTGATCGAGAGCACTGCCTCCTCGGACAGCCTCGGGGAGCGGTCCGTGTCACCAGACGGCTCGGACGAGTCGGCCGACCGACCGCGCTCACTCAGTCCCCAGCCGCCTCAGGTCATCCAGGCGCCGCCGCGGGCCAAGAAAAGGGCCGCTCCCAAACCACCGCAAATCAATGGGGTATGTAGTACGTACTACCTACGTACGTACTGCGTATGTGTCCCGTCTTAGTTCCGTCCGTTCCGTTCACATCTGGACCTAAAGGTGGTGGCCATTACTCGACCTGCCATTGGGTCGCTGGACCGACCAGTCTTGCGGGCCTCAGTCCTGCTGTAATCCGTGGGCTTGGCCTGGCGTTGGTTGGCCACGGGCAGCGTTTGGTGGGTCGGTGGGCCCCAGGCACCGTTTTCCTCGGGAGGGGCTGCGGCGATGGTGCTGTCATACCGCCCGCGCCCCTCGGACTACCGAGAAATCGGCACGATCCACAGTGGTGCGGTCCTGTCCCCCTCCCTTCCACCCCCGACCGGTGAACCTTACCACTTGCGGAACTGGATGGGGCGGGCGAGTGCTTATTGAACTGTGCCGATATCATGACTGCGGTTTATCGTATTAAAGTCACATCGGTCTTAATTGTATGTTGACTTGATGGTTGCTGACGATTTATAACCACAGAAGTTTCAAAAGAGCAACTGCGGAGTCAGATAGGCAGTTTAACGACCTATTGTCAATAGAAGATAGTCGATAATTCGTTTAGGCGAGCTCAAAAGCCTCAATTACTCGAAGTCTCTCTAAAGTTTTTGTTTCCGTTCTGTCAAATAAAGTAGCTCAACAGTCGTTAGCTCGTTCATGACATGGATTCTTGTTCTGTCGGCAGTCGGGTACCGGTCGTGGCGGCCCGCCGCCGGCAGCCGCCCCCGCCCCCGCCCCCGCCCCCGCCCCCGCCCCGGTGGCCGCCCGACCGCCCAGCGAGCTGTCTGAGGGAGCCGAGTCGGTGGAGTCTCGACATAGCTCCGACAGCTCCGGATACCACGAGGCCGGGCTCAGCGACGCCCCCGACAGGTGAGCTAAAATGAGCTGTGGGTGAGATAGAAGCTCCGGATACCACGAGGCCGGGCTCAGCGACGCCCCCGACAGGTGAGCTAAAATGAGCTGTGGGGGAGCTATAAAAGCTCCGGATACCACGAGGCCGCGCTCAGCGACACTTCAGACAGGAGAGCTAAACTGAGCTATGGGTGAGCTAGAAGCTCCGGATACCACGAGTCCGGGCTCAGCGACGCCCCCGACAGGTGAGCTACAATGAGCTGTGGGTGAGCTATAGAAGCTCCGGTTACCATGAGGCCGGGCTCAGCGACGGGCCCGACAGGTGAGCTACAATGAGCTATGCATGGGTGAGCTATAGCAGCTCCGGATACCACGAGGCCGGGCTCAGCGACACTTCAGACGGGGTAGCTAAACTGAGCTGTGGGGAGCTACAGAAGCTCCGAATACTACCAGGCCGGGCTCAGCGACGCGTCAGACGGGTGAGCCAAAGTGAGTTACATTTGAGCTATGTAAGCTCTTACTGTGGGTTATCACACATAAAATGCTCACAGTATTGTCAGCAAAGTTGGGCTAAGTGAAGCTACTGGTATGCATGCAGCTACAGGGTACTCTGAGTCAAATGTGCACTTCTACATCGTCAACATTGGCCAACCTGATATGCCTAGCAAACCTTATATATCCAAACAGAAGCACAGAGCTCCAATTCACCGGGGTGGACCGTGGAACTCGCCGGTGATTTCAGTCTGTCGTTTTTCTCACGCCGATAAGTGTTAAATGCCGGCTTCACCGCCTCGCGAGCCGGATGTAGACCTTCCCGGCCGACTGTATGGCCGGTCTGTCCCGAGCCGACGCGAACGAACAGACATTCGCACAACCCGTCTGTAGAATTAGCGGCTAGCATTATCGGCAGAGTCTCCCATGATAGCGTTTAGCGCATCCGGAAACACTTCCGAGGCGGCATTTGTAGTTACCGGAGCGGCACTGGCGGTACTGATGGCTTAGGGCGGCATTGGTGACTTAGGAGCTTAGGTGACATGGGGGGTAGGCGCTGCCCGAGCCATTCTGGCGCCGCTGGAGCGTGCTATAGACTGTGTTTGGATGCTATGCTAACTAGGTCGGCTGGGTACCGGTAATAAGGGCCGACCTTGAACACTGGTTCAGATCGATAATTGATATGAGGGCGCTGTGTTTGTATTGGAGCTGCTGGATAGGGGTATCTCAATTTAATGCATGTCCCCGGAGCTAAAAATAGGAGCTAATCTAAAAGTTTGGGTGGCCATAGATGTAATCCGAAGAATTTGTTTGCTATGCCGCCACCCATTATCAGATGGCCAGGCATTGAGGGTTACGTGTGACAAAATGTAAGATAGCTATTCTATTAGCTGTCTGGCTGCTGAGCCGTGAGCAGTGTCTGACCCGACATGCCTGACTTTTGTTTCAGTCCAACGGAGCGCGCGCCCGTGTCTACACAGCCGCCCTCCAACCTGGGCTCAGTCACATCGTACTCGACATCGAACCTGGTCACCTCCAACCTGACCCAGGTCAACTCAACATCGACCGTCTCCCTGTCATCGGCCATTCGGAAGCGCCGGGCGCCACCGCCTCCGGCCATCCCGCGCATCGCCGAGGACCCCCAGTCGCCCCCGCCGCGACCGACGCCCGCCGCCGCCCCCGCCGCAGCCACAGCCTCCGTAGCCAGTCAACCCGTAGAGCAGCAGCCCCGGCAGTCAGGTCAGTACCGACCGGTGTGCAGCGGTGTCGTCACTAACCCGCCTGAGGGAGTCGGGGGTCACAACGGTGCGCTCCTGTCGGAGCTGACGGCCGCCGTAGCGGCGCGCCGGGTCGATTGAGTTGTAGAATGTCCCCGTATTGTGCCCAGCTCGCCTCGACCCGCCTCGCCAACTAACCTCTGTTCTGTTTTAACCGGGTGTATGTCGCTCCCTTCTAGGATTCGAGCGCTGCCTGAACTAGCCCGAGGGTAACTGACTGTTTTGTTTTCTCACTTTTCTCACCCGTAGCATGCTTTCTCTCCCCCTCTGTCCCCCTCTGTTTTATGTACGCTGCCACGCTCACTGGTGTTGGGTTAGCTCTGCACGCTTCTCCGACCACTGTTTCTCTTTTAGAGCTAGCCGCGTCCCGTAGTGCCAGCAGCGCGGCGGCGCCAGCGGCGGCGGGGGCGGCGGCGGGGGCCAGGGTGCCGCCCCAGCCGATGCGCAGGAGTTCGCTGGGAGCACGCCGACCTCAGCCGTTGCCACGACACCTGCCGGTGCCCGAGACGGACCTGGTGCCTCCTCCGCCCGGGTTCGGGGACCCGCCCCTACCGGCCAGTGTGACGGCGGTGCGGCTTCGCGAGGGTCTGGCCCGCTCCGGCCAGCCCAGACCCGCCAGCGTTGGCGGACGGCCGAGCACCCTGCAGCGAAAGAAGCGGGCGCCGGCGCCGCCGACCCCGCCGGCCACCGGAGCGACCAGCCTGCCCGTCTCCCGTGCCTCCTCGGTCCGGGGCGCAGTGAGCAGAGCAGAGTCGGCCCGAGAAGCGGTCTCCCCGGCACCGACACCGGTCTCGCGCACCAGCAGTCAACAGACCGGCTCAGTGGACCTGACTGATGTCACCTCGCTGGACTCGTTCCGGAGCTGGTCTGAGGACAGTGAGCCCGGCCGCGGCCGCCGGCAGCTGACCCTCTCCAGTGGCGACAGTGACGAGTACGGCGGCGATGGCTGGGACTCTGAGTTGGCCGAGCGGCCGGCAGATGGCAGTGATGAGTCGGCGGGGCCCGGCAGCCCGCAGTGCAATGTGATTCACCGGTGGCGGAACTCGACGAACCTAGATCAGCTGGTGGAGGATGCACGGGGCCACACCCAAGGTCAGGGGCTGCATGAACATAAAACACCTAACGGCTGGTAGTGGTGGCACTAATCAGCGCTAGCACAAATTGTGTTCATTATTTTGCTATTTTATCATTTTCAGTGATCATTTCTCTAGCATCGCTTCCTTTCGTTTATTTTTCATAAGCTAGTTGCTTTTTGCGCCTTTTCGCATACCTTTATGTAAGCATTGATTTAAAAGACTTAATTTGTATTTGTTTTATTCCGATTCACATCGTTTTGCTGGCTGAACGGGGAGCTAAATGTCCCCTCTACCCTTTGGCCGTCTATCCTTGCCCTCGATTCACGATGCGGCCGGTGCTGTTTTCAGAGGAGGTCGAGCCGTCGCCGGGGTCGCCCAGGTCGTCCGCCTCCAGCCCGGAGCGGACACGGCTCAAGGCGCCGCTGCGACAGGACTCGGGCACCTCATCTACGGAGACACTGACAGCTGAGAGCGCGGCCGGCTCCGACCCGGCCCCGGCCCCGGCCCCGGCCCCGGCCCCGGCCCCGGCCCCGGCCCCGGCTCCGGTGGAGGAGGCTGGTAGGAAGGAGGATCCAGCACCGGCGGCAGACAGCGCGCGGACGGAAACGGTGGAGACGGAACAGACCAGCAGCGGAGCTACGACGGTAGAGAGGAGCGTGGACCATCCGTCACCCTCACCGAAAAATGAACCTGAAACAACAGAAGACGATACGAAGACTGAACTCGAAACTCCAACTCCGCCGAGTGAGGTTGTTGAAGAGAAATCCTTGTCAAATACCTTGTCAGAACCCCCAGCTGTGGTTACACCTGAGCCTGAGCAACCGACAGTTCCGGAGCCTCCCCCAACTCAAGTGACCCCTTCTGCGACTCCAGCGGCAGCCCCGAGCTCTGAGAGCGAGCCGGAGCCAGTCGTCCAGTCACCATCTCCCAGCCTAACGCCGGCTCCAGCGACCGAACCTATACAGACCACGGAGCGTGCCGAAACCGCTACACCTCCACTTACTGTCGAAGAGTCCCTGCCCCAGGAGGTCGTACCCGCCGTCCGTGATACCCCTCACACCGAGACTGCTGCTCCAACAGTCACTGAGATCTCAGCTCCAGTCGTATTGGAAGCTCCGGCTGCTTCTGTACGGGCTGCGGAAGCTTCTGAGACACCGGCCACTCCGGCTGTCGAGGCTGAAACTCTGCCGGTTGAGTCGCGTCAGAAAGAATCAATCCCTACTCCGGCAGCTCAGTCGGAGTCGGAGATGAGATCTCCGGAGCCAGCCCAAACAACCGAGCTTTCGGAGGAGGACGATGAGACTGCGCTGCTTCAGCGAGAAGTGGACTCTGCTCTGTCATGTCTGGACCTGGACCTCGACGAAGCATTGGCGGAGACAGCTGCTTTCACAGAGAGTAGCAGTCTTCAGACGCAGAGCCGTCTTCCGCCGACAGAGACGGAGACGACGGAGACAGAGACAGAGACGGGGACGGAGACAAGTCAGGAGACTGAGGCGGAGACGCTGCCAGTGGTGGTCCGAGAGACGGCAAAGGCCACGCCGGAGACGCCGGAGCCGGAGCAGCCACAGAGAACGGTTCTAACCTCCCGACAAACTGTACAGGAGACCCGAGAGGTGATCGAAACACTGTTACCGGTGGCGCGTATGACGGAATTCGAGGCGGTACCGTCCCCTACGCTCCCCTCGGCGACGGTGAGAACACAGAGTGAGGAAGTGATCACTGTTACAGAACGTCAGACGACAGCGCCATCTACTGAGACGACCAGAGAACCCGCGGCGCCGCAGCCGACCCAGACGGCGAGAGTCGCCGAGAGGACTGAACAGAGTGTGGAGTCGGTGGCGGCCAAACGACGCACGCCGAAACTGGGCGCCACCAGCCGTCAGTATCCGGTGGAAGTGGAGGAGGAAGTCGTCGTGGAGCGGGTGGAGAAGGTGCAGCGGAACAGGGTGAGTACCGGTGGCTGCGTCTCAGCCGTGGGTTTGTGTGTGTGTGTGTGAAGTGACTTGTGTGGGTGTTTGTTGATTGTTATGGCAGCTAGGGGTTTTGTTGTATTTAGTCGCTTTGGATGGCTTTTGTGTTTGTTTTGTGTGTTGTTTACCTCAGGGAGTGTGAAGTGAACGTACTGGCCGCTGAGCCCCACCGGTGACGATTTTCAGATGACCCCCAAGGACATCAAGCTGCACATTGAGCGGAAGCTGGCCTCGTTTGATCAGCCTCCGCGCTCTCCGTCCCAGCCGAGTCAGCTGATCAGTCCCCCGACCTCCGCTCCTGCCGCTGGCGGCGCCGACTCTCCGGACTGGCAGTACCGGCTGCCGGAACCACCCACACCCTTCCAAGACCCCACGACCTCCGCTGGTCGCACTGCACCCTTGGAGGCTCCGCTGGAGTTCCAGGACAACATGACGGTCACCTCCAGCGAGCCCAGTGAAGCTGGAGAGTTCGCGGAGGCTACAAATGCTTCACTAGTCGAGCGGGTCGGCCGCTCTGACCCGGCCCGACCGGCCACCGACCAATCAGAGGCCACTCCGGCAAGCAGCAGCCAATCAGAGGCCGCCCCGGCCAGCCGCGACCAATGGGACGGCGGCCGGTCCGAGCGGCCCGCCAAACCCGAGAGGCGCCGCTCCAGCGAGCGGCTCGCGCGTCAGATGAGCTTCTCGATCGGAGCGTACAGTCAACGGGAGCCGACGGGGACGGAGGGTGGTGGATCTGCCAGCCGGCCGCAGAGGGCCGACTCGTTCCACTGTCAGAAAACCACCGCCGGCAGCGCGTCTCAGGTGAGAGTGGGAACGGGGCGTGGGCTGACTGACGAACAAACTCCTTTATTGAACCTTTACCTCGCTTGGTATGTTGTAGGGTATGCCATTGACCACATCAGAATGCAAATCACATTCTTTATAACTGCTCAATACTGGCCGCTTGTGTTTTCAATCGAAAGTCTCTGCCGTAAATAGTTGCGTTGTTGTCTTCGGAGACGGACAAAATTTTCGTTCCTTGCCCCCCCCCCCCGCAAATCTATTCGACGTACCCGTATTTACCGCCGTTATTTACGGCCGCAGTCCGCCCGTACCGGTCCACGCCCCTATTCCGATCCGTTCAGAGCCCGTCCGTGCCAGAGCGCCGCTCAGTATGGGTAATAGCCACCCGCCCGCCCCTGAGACACGCACGGCCTCTAGGCTGGGCCGTGCTGACCTCAGGATAGCGTGAGGCTGACTGGCGGGCGGCCAGACACGAACCAAACTTTCACCAGAGGCGGTTCGTAAACCCTCTGGGAGTGGAGTGTCCGGGATGGGCAGAGTGGTCAGTGAGTGGCAGTGGTAGGTTAGTCTGTGATTGTAACCCCAGGATACTTTGATTAAACTTTAAACTATTAATTAGCGCATTGGCAGTTCGAGATTAAGCATGCAAATATATTCTTATGATTCTACCTTTTACTACCCCGGGTTGAAAGTAACTACTACTTACGTCATATTCTACATAATGACGTCACCGTCAATATTTTGACGCACCGCCGTTGATCTGCAGGTGACCTCCGGTGCCGACCCCGCCGCCGATCCGGCCGGCCCGGAGATGACCGCGCGGCGGCCCGTCAGCCGGCGGCGCAGCTCGGACGCCGCGGCCGGGTCACGGGGTCAGAGGTCAGCCGAGACGGACCGACCCGCGGCCGCCGAGCCCGTCCGGCCGCCCAGGAAGTACGAGGTGAGGCTGCAGTGGACGGAGGTGGGAGGGGTGGGGGGAGGTGGGGAGGCAGGTGGGATGTTGTAATTGATAAATGCTAATCATTTATCATAGCTCAGTTTGTAGAGATGGGTGAACGGAACGGTTTAGATCTTGGCCTGTTAGCAACTAGAGCTCCAGCCAAAGACGTTCGAACGGCACCCTGACCGTCTTGCTCCCGCTCTGATTTCAGCTGAAGTTCAACAACTCTAAGTCGTACTCCATGCTGAACCTGAGTAATGGTGGTCTGACCATGCCTGCCGAGCGACCGTCACCAAACATGAACAAAACGCAGAGCCAAACCGATCTAGCAATGGGTGAGCACCGCCACATCATTATTTAAGTAATTGTAGGTCTGGAGCTATCACAGCATATCGTCGTCTGATGACATTGGTAGACAGTAGAATGCGTGGAATACTAACATTGAACGTCCCAATGTTATAATAGATGAAGCTGATCTTGGCACGGTAATTACTAGGGCTCTTCTATTTTCAAATGGTTTTCCTCATAAATTGAGTTTCAGCATTTTGCCTCAAGGGACACTCGGCCGCCGAACTGTCCGATTATAGTAACATTCGCAGCCCGTTACCCTGAAAATGGCGCCGAACAGTTTTTGTAACGTTAGTTCCGTGTTCCTCCGGCAGAGAGCGAGGTGAGCGACATCCAGTCTGAGTTCCTGAAGCTGCAGCGCCAGTTCCTGCACTGGCAGCAGCAGCTGCTGCAGAATCAGTCGATCTTACAGACCAAGGTGGCCCCGCTGGCCGCCCGGCCGTCGGCTGCCGCCAGTCTGCAGAGTCTGGAGGTACGCAGGCCGTCCGAGCCCCTGCCACCTCCGCCAGTCTGTGTGGAGAGCGTGGCGAGACGGCGGCCGTCGGCACAGGACGAGTCCCCCCGCCGCCGACGGCAGGCGCCGACACCGCCGACACCGATACCGCCACCGCCAACAGCGGCGACACCAGTGTCACCTCCGGCACCGGTGACAGCGGCGACACCAGTGTCACCACCGGCACCCGTGACACCGGCTGACCCGCCGGAGGGTCGCGACACGCCTCCTCCGGCTGTGACCCCACCGGAGGAGTTCAGCTCGCCTTCCCCTGCTCCGCCGGCGGAGCCTAGCACGTCTTTCTCTCCAGTTCTTCAGAGCACGTCTTCGCCTTCTATCTCGGCACCGCTGTCCGGCGCCGTCTGTGGCCCGCCTGCGACTCTCAGCTCGTCTTTGACTGTCTCTCTATCACCCAGCACGTCTTCCGTCCTTCCCGTGGATCAGAGCACGACTCCACAGGTCCAGAGCACGCCGCCCGTGGTCCGGAGCCCGCCGCTGGCCGTGCACAGCACGCCTCTGGCCTCTGTGGCCGCCGTGCGGGCCAGCCGGCCGACCGGGCGCCGACGCACGCCGCCGCCGGTTCCGGCTAAACTGAGCCCTCAGCAACTGGCCAGTCGTCGCAGACAGGTGCTGATTGGCACCCCGAGGTTCCGATCGGTGGCGGAGGCCGCGCGGCCGGCGGGGACGATCAGCAGCTGGAGGAGGGACACCCTACCGCTGTGGAACGCACTGACTGGGGATGGAGGACGGAGGAGGGCTCACTGGGGTCTGGGCTTGGCATGGGGCGGAGCTGTGACTGTTGGTGCTTCTGCTGCTGGGTTTCTGTGCTTCCCATGGTGGTGGCTATTGGCTTGCTTCATGTCCGTCTCCTGTACAAAGGCGCATGCGGATGTTATTATTCTTGTCCTGCTCCCTGGCTGTATATTTTCAGCGGAAGGCGACTCCTTGGTGCTCGGAACTTACCTTGTTCCATAGACACGCATGCTAACAGGTATGGCCCTCGCAAATCAAATGAGTATGGCGGAAGAGATGATAATGAGGTACAAGGTACAGGCCGCTGGAGCTGTTTATATGCTGCTGTGTCGGTTAGATTCGTCCGTGCTATTATGCGTGTGTATTGCAAGAAGATGCAAATATTGCATTTATCATTTGATATCTTAGTGAACGTTGGTGTAAACTCAAGGGACTGATTCAATCAAAATCAGTTGTTCTTATGAACGTGCTTGGCTTATGCATTGCATCGTTGTTTGCCGTTAGCCTCGGCTATTCATCAACATGTCTCCAAGTCAACCATCCCCACTTATCACCTAGCCTAGCCATTGCCTCCTCTGCTCCCTGCTCACCCGCCTGTGGTCGTGCCCAGGTGATTGAGGAGCTGCGCCGCCGAGTCCCGGAACAGGAGGACAGCCCGGACCCACCGGCCGACTACTCTGGACGCTCCCAGTCTCTGCCGCGGGGCTCCAGTCTCCAGCACCCCAAACTGAGCCTGGCTGCCGAGCAGCGGCGCTCCGAGCCGGAGCCGCAGCCGGAGAGGGAGCCGGAGCCGGAGCGGAGCACCGCCCGAACCAGGGAGCGGGAGAGGACCCCGCCCCGGCAGCGTGCCTCCACACTGGAGAGAAGGCAGGAGTCGGAGCCGGAGCCGACCCGGCAGAGGGCGTCCACGCTGGAAAGGAGGCCCTCAGAGACCAGGTGAGGGGAGGGAGGGAGGAGAAGAGAGAAAAAGGAGAGAGAGAGAGAGAGAGAGAGAGAGAGAGAGAGAGAGAGAGAGAGAGAGAGAGAGAGAGAGAGAGAGAGAGAGAGAGAGAGAGAGAGAGAGAGAGGACGAGAGCGAAAGAGAGAGAGAGAGAGAGAGAGAGAGGGAGGGAGGGAGAGAGGAGAGAGAGAGGAGAGAGTGGGTAAGTTAAGCTGAAAGGAAGGGATTTAGGAGAAAGAAGGAAAGAGAGATTGATCTTATCTTAATTGATCTCTATGATTTAGATAAACCATGAGAGGCTGATAGGTCTATGGGTGGTCCTCTGGTTTAGGCTCTTGGTCGGCAAGTGTTTCTGGCGGTCTGATGTCTGACGACCTTCTTGCTGTGTTCCAGAGCTGAGAAGCGAGTGCCGTGGTCACCTCCGAAGGTAGCGCTTGGCACATGGGCGGAGCAGTCCCGACAGAGTCAGGTGCAGCTGAAGGAGGACCGCGACTACGTGCTGCGCCAGGGCCCGCCGCCGCAGTCTCAGCAGGCGGCACCTGAGCCGACCTCTGAGCAGGCTGCCCGCCGGCCGACGGCCGTCTCCGTCCGGCCCAGTAAGAGCGTTACGGTCACCTCTCTGGGAGCGCCCCCGCCGCCGGTGGGGGTCCCGCTGCCTCAACCGGCGCCGCAGCCAGTCAACGGCCAGCAGAGGCTCTCGGCAGTAGCCAAGGTGCGACACAACGAGTCTGTACCTGCTCCGACGGCCGTCCTGTCGTCAGCGGTGCGAGGACCCTCGACCCGCCAGCCGCCAGCGTTCTCCATCTCAGACTCTAAACCGTCTCAGCCGGGCCGCGGTGTGGCGGCGGCGGCGGCGGCCGGCCGGTTCACCTCAGTCGTATCGCTGACTGATGAGCCTCGCCAGCCGCTCTCAGTCTCAGTCCAGGTGTCCAAGACGGCTGCCCGGGTGGGCGCAGCGACTGCTGCGGCGCGGCCCGCTGAGTCGACCACAGTCACCTGCCGCGTGTCGCCGCCCGACCAGACTGCAGCACAGCCGAGGACGGTGCCCAGTGTGGTGAGCGTGACGAGGAAGGACTCTGCCACCTCCACGGAGCTGTCGGCCCGACAGGCGGCGTCGGAGGTGTCTCGCAGGAGCCGGAACCAGCCAGTCGTCAAAGGTGAGGGCGGAGAGTTCGATCATTCGGTCTTTGCGAAGAGAGTTGAGCGGGTGATGCTGTTCGAGCTCTCGGTAAATCTCGTCAGGGTTATGGCTGTGCATCATGAAACCAGCCTCCAATGAATTCAGTCGATTCAATTCAACTTTATTGTACAGCGGTTGCTCCACAACTGTGTGCGATTCGTGCATGCCCTTATATTATCCCGTCTTATCCCTGAGCATAGCTCATCCATGCTACCTGACGTCTCTTGCCAATGACGTTAATGAGACAGTCGGTGTGACTGACGCTTTGTCTGTCTGTGGCAGGTTTCCGTCAGCCGGAGGTGCCGGCACCGGTGCCGCCCCCGCCGCCGCCGCCGGCTCCGGTGCTACCGCCGGCGTCCGAGGCAGCAGCGGGCCGCGCACGTCTCAAACCTGTCTCGGCCGGCCGGCCAGTGGTCCCCAAACTGGACCCTCGAGAGGAGTTGATGATCGCCATCCGGGAACACGGCGGACTGAAGAAACGGGGCGGCGTGCGACCGTGATTGGCAGGTAAGCACGGGGTGTGACGTCATACGGCACCAATGGCCGCCGAGCGGCTGGTGCCTGATGAACTGCGCTCTGCTAACATTTGGCATCCAGCTGTTCCACATGACATCTATCCGTGTCTTACACTGGTGACTTTCTGTGTGACTTGACTAACAGAGCTGTCTTGTGTGTTTTTTTTTCAGACTGGATCAGAGTGCAATACCCGTATAGTGGGTGAGAGGCCGGCTGTCTGTCCGGCCGGTCAGTGCCTTCACGGACGTCCCGCCGGAGCTGGGAGCGGTCAGCACGGTCTGCTGGGACAGCCGAGTGCCGGCACCGGCGTCCCGTGTCCGACTGAAGTTCGACCGAAGTTCCAGAGCGCTATCCGCAGGCCGGAGCGGCCGCCACGGCAGCTGAACAGTGAACACTGAACATGTACCCGCCTGACTCCGAGTCCGAGTCCGAGTCCGGTGACTCCGCGCGCCTCTGAGTCGCTGGAGGCCCGCCGTGATCACCAACGGACCCGTGTCGCGCGCGCAGCTCATTTTAGAGCTGCCAGTTATCGCCCCATGTAGTCTGCCACGACCGCCGCCGAGCGCCTTCAGCCGCTATGTCCCGATATATACCGGTGCTGTGAAGCGCCGAGCGCGGTCAGTTCGAGTCGCGGCCGCCAGGTGTCGGCCCTGCGCCGCTGCTTTCCGCCGCCGCCGCCAGGGGCGCCACCGTCGCCGGCGGCCGCGGCCTTCAGTGCTCACATATTTTATGTAACGGTCGCGTCGCGCCCGCCGCCGCTGTTGCCGCTGCTGCTGATACATTTCGAGGCCGTACTTATGTTTATGTGATACGTGAGCGAGTGCGTGGGTGTGCGTGTCGAGTGTAGCCCGTTGGCCGTGTGTTTTGGTAAGGCGCCGGGGCCGGCTTGGGAATGGTTCACCCTCGACCACCCCTCTCCGCGGCCCCGGCGCCATAACCCTGTTATACTACCACTAATCCAGTGTTATTATTGAAATGTATATGCGACAAGCCATAATAAATATATTGCAATGATTGAATAATTGGTGAATTTCTATAACTGTCGTAGAGCGACAGGAGTGAAGCTGCAGGGTAGCAGCGGGCCAAACACCCTATCAGTCCAAGCATTCAAAAGGCCTTTGAATCATTATTACTCTTCAACGGCTCGTTCGAGGGTAATTACTAGCGCCCGCCGCCTCGCAGTGGTGGAATGGTGTGCGAAACCCGCGGATCGCTGCAGAATCGAACACGCATGGCTCTTGTACTGGCTGGAGCTCGGTTGAAGGCAGACCGAAAAACCGACACGGTCGCCGATGGCCATCCGCAGTTCGCATCCGCTTATAACCAGCACAGACTGCAGTGCAGTCTGTGCTGGTTATACAATTGACCAGGCTGAGCGAGCCGCGATACTTGCTGAGCATTCATCGGACAAGGCAAACAGACATAGTATTCGCAATCTAGCCACACTTGTAGGATAGACTAGCGCCCCACTATATTCCACAGGATGCTGATTCATCGCCTCTTCTCACCACCCACTCAAGCAGACACCGTTTTCATTGGCCAATTGTTCATATATTAACGATTTATTTGCTTATTTACAGTACAGTGTGACAGTGAGCTCTGAGCCCTCCGGCGGCGGCGCCCCTTCAGTAGCCCACAAACATCACGGGCCCGCTAAAAACGATACAAACGGCGCGGTGTGACCCAGCGTACCCGGGCAGACCCAGCCCGGCACAGACCACAGGTCAGGTCACACGTCATAGACTCGCCATCACATAAACGGAGGCTGCGTTCACGACTGACGGATAAAATACCGACTGTTCCAGGGGTGTCGACATTAAGTATGGATAAGACCCATGGAGGAACTTTAAAGTGACCTTGACTGTTACCTTTGTGAACACTATCAGGACAAGTTAATATGATCAAGCAAAGCAAAAGTGGTTCCATCATATGGGACCAGATGCGAAATGGGACAGGGAAGAAGACCATTATTATGGAGTGTTATAGGTGAGAAGAAGAGTGAGGTGCGGGGAAATGCTTTGCCTCAGAAGTCGGTCATTAAAGGACAGGTATTTTACACTTTGAGTCTCACAGGCGAAGAACAGGTACTGACGTTGGGAAGAATGCAAGAAAGATGCCAGCATCCCGTTCATTGCCACCGACGATGAGGTGCCTGAACGTTTCTAGATGCCGCTATAGAATTCAGGACACGATCACCTCAAAACCAAGACGAATCCTTACTGAGCACAATATGTGACCTGCTGGAACGACGCCCCTCCCACCCCCACGCCGATTTGTTTGCCCCAATCACAATGTATGACACTGCTCCGGCCCGCTTGCACCGCCCGTCCTCAAGGAGACGCGAGGACGGTTATCCTTCCGCCCCGGATCGGATCTTGCTCTCACAGACTGGACTCTCACTCTCTCACTCGCCGCTCGCACTCTCACTCGGACGCCACGGCCGACCGACACTGATTTGTGCTCTCGCGTATGATCACAGCTGTAGACGGCCACCCTGCCGCCGCCGGGCCCGGCTTCGCCGGACTGGGAGCGCTCCTTTCCCTCCGCCCCATCCCGCAGGAGAGCGCGGGTCGCACTCTGAACCCACGAGACCACGCCGTGGACTGAGCACTCAGCGCCGCACTCGCGCCAGGCTCACACTGTCAACAATAACAACACGGTGGCCACCGTCGGTAGACGCCGCCTCTGTATAACACGGGACTCCTCACTGAGCCACACGGCGTCAAGTCTCGCCACTAGGCGGCAGCACCGTCAGCACAGCTCACCGGATGGCCGCGCTACACCGTCTGATTGTATAGGTGGCGCTACCACACTCATTTCAGTTTGTATAGGTGGCGCTAAGGTTAACACAGCGTCTCTGACCGGCGCTGCACTGTCACCAGCCGGCAGCTCAGGCGTATGAAGTGTTTGACTCGTACATTTTCTTACCGAGCTGCACTTGCGCCGGCGGAGGGGGCGGGGCGGGGGGCCGCTTTCCACGGGGACGCTCTGCAAAAGGGGCGGGATCGTGTCAGTAGGCGAAGTGCAGCCGGGGTGGCGCATAGTGGGTCCGGATAAACGTAACACTGTTTCAGATATTTGCCTATAGTTTCACCACACAAGGACACATTTGAAACATGAAAGCTGCAGATTGGGTGCACACTAATGAACTCATCTGAATGAAAACAGCATCGTTCATTTAAGTCTAACAGAAGTGACCTCATTGAGTCATTTTGGATTAGGACGGGTCAACCACAAAATCATGCACAATAGGTACCAGGCGCACTTGGTGAGTTTCAGCCAGCTGAAACAACAAAGCTAGGGCCGAGCCGGGCCGGAAGGGCGGTAGTAAGGTTAGGTTCAAGACATAGCAACATTGGCGACGGGGAACTCCAAAAGAACACAGCTGGTTCCGGACCAAGCCAGGGCGCTCGGACCCGCCGGCGCCAGTTAGTCACGATACAAGCCACAAAACACGGTTTACGTCACACCACATCACAACACAGCATCCCAAGCCAGCGCGCAGCCGAGCCGGCGGCCAGCCTGACAGTGTCGGTCTCTGAGGGTTCCTCTCCCCACCCCCGGTCCCCAGACCAGGGATCCAGCCCCAGCCGGCGGTTGTGACCGTAGCCAACAGGCACCAGCTTCGGAGTCTGTTCGCGTCTAAGCACGGACCAAAGTTTTCGTCCTGGGGTTAGCTTTGGTTTCAGCCTGTTTCAGGCCGTTTCCTATCTCTACAGTCTTATCAAACAGAGCGGGTTTCCCACGGCCCTTCCGGCCCGGACTTCCGGTGTGGCGCTGTGTCAGCGGTCCCCAGCGGCCGACTGCTGATATTCGCTACCTCAGCAATCAGCTCAGCAGTGAACAGTCAGCTCAGCGGCCACCCAGGACCAACCATGAAACAAATCGGAAACACTCAAGGCTGCCCCTCTGCGGCAGCAGCCCCACTAAAGTTGGTCCCTCGGCACACGGTCATGGCAGCCTCTGTTAATGTACATACACGCCGGACAAAGCACTCAGCCGCAGTGCCGGACAGTGGCAGACGGCAACGCACTAGCACTATGAACAAAGCAAATAGAGATGCACAGTCTGGTAGTATCACGGCACTCGGGCGACCAATGATACAGCACGCCCTGCACACAGGAGCACAATCTGGTAGAACGAAGGCACTCAGGGCACTCAGGCACACTCCCATAGAGCCAAGACACTCCGAGGCAGTCTGGTAGTTCCAAGACACCCACTGCACTCAGGTAGTCATTAAGTTGGACGTAATACCACGGCACTCAGATAGACACGCAGTCTGGTAGTATCACAACCACTACACTTTGACGGACAGAGGGGCGGAGGAGCTGCACTCCTCCGGTGCTCTACCTGCTGTGACTGGGAGCGAGTGAGTACGGTGGGCGGCGGTAGCACCAGGTCACCGAGAAAACCCAGGGGCAGGCGGACCTCGCCAACGTACGCTGGCGGAGTGTGTAGACAGACATACAGACAGAGCGCAACAGCGGTCACACGACACAACAGACATAGACCCGGAGAGAGATCAAATTAAGCGTACGGCCGTGACTGGATCCAAAGAAGCATAGAAAAAAGCAGTGACATTGCACATTTCTTGGCACCTCCAACACTGCATGGAGATTGCTACCCGTGGATCGAAATGTCACAAGCTCTCAGTCTCCCAGCTCCGCAGCAGGCCTATTGAGTACCATACCATACTCAAACTCCAACCGCCATCCACCGCCACCGCTCCAACCGCAGCCTCAAGTCACCCACCAGCCAATCATTCCGACATAAAACGACGTCAAAGTCAAACAGCTCCCTCCCACCAAAGAAAACGCACAAGTAGCTCTTAATCCCTCCACTCTCGTTAAGAGGCAGCGGTAGGATTGAGGGGCTGGGGCGGCGGTGGAGCTGAGATGCGTGACCTCTAGCGGTCGACACGCGTTTGATGGACAGTTGACGGGCGCTGCAACTGCGATAAACACAACCCCTCCCCAACCCCTCCGCCCGTCAGCTAATCCCTCTGAGACCCGTGCGTGGCTGGTTGGGGCGCCCAGGCAGGCTGCTTTTGCTCCGCACAATACAAGATAACCTTACTAATAGTACGGTACGGCACGGTATGGTACGATACGTAAGAGAGCAGTCGCTGATGTATGTACGCGGAGCGCCGTCGCCACCACAGAGTATAATCGTACTCAGACGGATATCCGACCACAGTAGACCCATCCGTACCGCCTAGAGCAGGGCCACAGCTCCGGTTTGAGTCAGCAGTGACCGGCGGTCGGCACAGAACGGTCTGCGGCCGGGGCACTCAACATCCGTCCCTTCTCCCTCTCCTCTCTCCGGATAGGGGATGAGAGGGAGGAGGGAAGGGGAGGGAGGAAGTGTCCGGTGACCCATTCATCCGTGTGGCCGAGCGGCGGTCAGTGACGCACAGACTGCGGGGCCCACAGACACCACAGACGCCCATAGACACACCATCCACGTTCCCAGGACTCGACTGTTTGTCTACACTGACCTACAGATATTGCTCCGGTGAATCAGCGGATGACACAACGGCACCTGATACGGCGCGTGGCACGGTACCACGGAGATATACGTAGAGCTTATGCCAGCTCATCGTCACACACAGCACAGAGCGGAGGACAGATCAGTGTCATACCACAGCCCACAGGCAGAATATGTCAGGACGACTCAGTCTAACACAACGCACAAAATGCGGGCCAACTCATCGTCAAAAACACCAACCAGAGGTCAAAGGTCAGTCAGACTCGCTCTCGTTCACAACTGGGGGTCAGGTTCGATCACCGTCACATAGCACACAAATGGCCGTATCACAGCCACAAAAACGCACACAGGCCATGCTAGCGGCCTAGCAACTGGGAACCATACAGGCCCACCAGACGAGGGGCTACCTAGCAGAGGACAGCCGAAACCAGCTCCATCAGACAACTGCAATTGTATATGCTTCAACACTGCACAAACTGAAATGCAATACAAATAACACTACACTGGATGCAGGTACACACTACACAAGTTTGGATCGAATGGCTTCGGCCTTTCAGACCGGGCGATAGTCTGGCCGTCGGCACGGCTCAATTGATGATTTCAGGCGGTTCCGGGGCACCGGGACTCCCCTGTTCATTAACCACCATCAGCGTGTCGTTTGGCAACACCACGGGACGGCACTCGGATAGTCACAGCCCGGCTCGGACCGGAGCTACTTACGATTTTTGCTGGGGTAGTTTTTGACGCAGTTGGTAGGCGGCTCCGGCGGCGGCAGCTGGGACAGACTGTGGAACCGATCTCCGAACCGCCGCTCGAAGTCTGCAGAGTGAATGAAAACAAGGGGTTACAACGGGAACCGTAAGGGCAACCAATGGTCAGGGTCCAGGGACATCTCTTGGGACTGTCAGGCAGACAGTGAATGGCAATAAACGCTCAGAAGCTGGGATTTCATACAGAACCATCGCAGATTGGACAAAGTGAGACATCGCATAGGACTTTCAGGGCAAACGAAAATGTCGCAGCAACCATTCAGAAGTTTGGACTAGAATGAACTATCGCAAGCAGACAGTACAGCATCGCATGGTTAGGTTTCGCTAAAATGGCGATTGAGGCATCACATGGGTAAACGAAAGGGCCATTCCCTATGCACGTGCTCTACTTTTACAAAAAAGTTATCTCATCCATGACCTAACATGACCCAACTAACTACACGTCAGCCTGAACGATACGATAGGAACTACCATTTCGGACGTCAATACGCACAACTCTCAAACAGGTGTGATTTCGCAACTCGGTGCGCACACGGCGCAAACATCAGCTGACGTCACTTAAACGACGCTTAATGTGCGTCACTGTTACTACACACGTCGTGAGTCATTCGCCGGATAGCTGCAGGAAGCAGCCACAAAGGAATGGATTCCCGAGCGGTATGTAACTACGCTGGTGTGTCACATTTCACCATTCGCTGTTACCGGGCTCAAAGGCTGAAAGATCGTACCACTAATAAAGGATAACGCTTCTATCGTCGTCAGATAGATTCAGAACTCAAACCAGGGTCTATACGGTGCCCAAGAGCTGGCCGCATTACAGCCGGAACTCTCCACTCACTATCGCAATGTGGCTGTGACTATATGACATCACGCCCATATTTCTGGGAAAAATGACTACGCTATCGCCCTGTCGTTATCTTGAGTAAGGGAAGATACCTTGCGATGGAGCTTGGTTTACACAACTAGTATTGATCAGTTAGGTGAGAATATGATGTCCATTGTTCAGAAACTACAATACAAACACGTCTTCTGCAATATGTTACCCAAACACTCGACCTCCCACAAGTACAATGCAGACCTCCTGTTCCCCACCCTCGCTAGATTATCCACGCCACCCCCGACCCCCGCGGCGCCTGCCTCAGCGGCGGCTAAGAGCTGCCGCAGCTCTCCTCACCGGTCAGGTCGGGGATGCTCGAGCTACTCGAGCTGTACGAGCTCCGCTGACTGACGGAGGAGTGCCGCAGGGGCGGCGGAGGTGGCGCGCCGGCCAGCAAGGAGGGAGGCGGCGGCGGCGGCGGCGCCTGTGGAAACGAAGACAAACAGTACGAGGTCAGAGAGCTAACAAGGACAGCAGAGTGAGGGATGACACCGGTCGGCGGTGGATTGAGTCGACATATCGCTGACAGATACTCAGTCAAACGAGGGCAAACTTGCTTCCAGCGCCAAAAATGCGGTGAGCTTATAGCCATTACTGGGGACTCACTCACTTTTTGGGAAACGGTATCGTCCGTTAAGATCAGAGCGATTCACCTTGAAAGGCAAGTTCAACCACAGTGAGAATATACGGAGTTAGCAGATCAATAATTGGAGCCAGACCAAGGCCCCGTTTCATAAAGCGAGTCCGTAACTTACGCCGGTTTTTGGTCTTGTATTGCAAGTGCATGTGAAGCGATGACGACAGTTTGAATCGTTGAATTTATTTATCTTGCAAGCGAGAACAAAAGAGAGAAGGGGAAATAAATTTATCGCTTTACATGCGCTTGCAATACAGGCCCAAAAACCAGCGTAATTTACGGACTCGCTTTATGAAACGAGGCCCAAGTCCAATTTTGTGCCACTTGACTTTAACCTATTGGGACATTGCCACATATTTACGCAAGAGCTATAAATAGCCAGTTACTCAAGGCATAACTCACCACACTCTGTTATCCGATGCTGATACTGTATCGTAGCCGATTACTCAGCTCTTTAAAGATAAATGACGGAGTTGCGGTACATTCGTATACCTATCGATGATGCACAGTGAGCACACTACTCCAAGTTGCAACTAAGAAAGCCTAAAAGAACACCAACCCACCCGCCGGCCGCTGGGGACTCACCTGACCTCCCTGTCGGACCTGCGACGGCGGCGGCGGCGGCCCCGAACGGTGCGGCGGCAGCGGCGGCGCTGACGTCGGCACCGGCGGCGGCGGCTGCGACGGCGGCGGCGCGCGGCCCGGCGGCGGTGGTGGCGGCGGCTTCACGCCGGGCGGCCGCGGCGGGCCGCGGGATGCCGGTGCGCGGCCGCTCGGCGGCGGCGGCGGCGGCGCCGTCCGGAGGCCGCCACCGCCGTTCAGGCGCATGTCGTCCTGCGACTTGCGCCGGTCGTCCTCCTCTGAATAACTCCCGCGCGCCCTCATACTGTGCGCGCGCGCCACGTGCGGTGGTTTGGCGCCGGGCGGCGGTGGCGGCGGCGGCTGGCCCGGCAGGCTGGGTGGCCCACTCCCCAGCACCTGGACAGTCGGCGACTTGGGCGGCGGCGGGGGCTTCACGTTCGGTGGCCGCGGCGGTGCCGTCGAGGGTTTCTGTGTGATACTCGGTCGGACTGAGGGCGGAGCAGTGGTCTTCCGACCCACTGTCGCCGAACCGTTGTGTACCTGGGAACATCAGACCACCGTCAGACACTGGGAAACGCTGACAAAGCTCCACCTCTCACTCATTCCAACTAAAAACACTTCACGCAAAGCAGCAGCCATGAAGCGTATAATGCAGCATCATAAGCAACACCATTCTTTCAGTTCCAACTATTTATCTGAGAACATACCACCACAAAACACCAACAATCCTTCACATCACCACTGGTGCTGAAATCGATAAACGTCTCCTGTCTACCGCTGCATCGCTAGCAGTCATTCACCAACCGGCTGGCGATTCATCCATCTATACCAACCATGAACGGCTTGGCACCGGCCGGCGGTGCCAGCGGCGCCTCTCTGCGCAGCGTTGACGATGAGTTACTGGGCCGCATGGCGCGTCTCTCTCCCGTCTGTGGGGGGTGAGCACCCGACAGTCAGGGACGGAGTCGGCACGGGCAGCGGCACCCCACGGCACGAGCACACTACAGCCGGAGCAGAGGCGGGGATCAGGCAGCGGTGGAGCTGGGATTTGTCGTAAGGAGTTGAAGCTGAGGTCTCGCTGCACGTGTCTACTGTCTTACCATTAGAGGCATTAGAAGCAGGCGAAGGTACGTATAGTCTGTGGATGAAGATTGTTGGGACGGTTGGATCATAAGCGAATGAAGACGGTAGATGAGTTGGAAAGGTCCGCGAAGGCAGGCAGCAGAGGCCAGCAGAGGTGCAGGAGCAGCATGCTGTGGAGCGATGCAGTTGTGGTGCTGCTCAGAATCTGGGGAGCTAGATGCGGCGTCACAGTTGGAGCAGGAGGTGGAGCGTACGGGAGGATTACGGTCCTGAAAGATATACCTGAATGGAGGTGGCTCCTGACGGAAGAACAGCAGTGGAAATGTTGAATGGTGGACTGGTCTTAGTACAACAAAGGAGCACAGATGTGGCCGTAGCAGGAAGGAAGAGTCAAGGAAGAGGAAGAGTCAGCGGTATCACAGGACCACTTAAATGGGTGAAATGCCCCTACTGGAGTCTCTGTCTCTATATCAGGAGTAGCGACACGGATAGAAAGCAACATAGGACTCGAACTTGAACGGAACAAGAGGATGCCACGGCAAACCACACACACTCAGGCGCCAATGGACAGCCCAAATACATCTGGCCACCCACCAAACGCACACAAACGGCGGCCGCGGGTCCACGCAGCGACACACCATGCACAAAACACGCACTGCAAGCACGCTATGTTCATGCACGCTAGCCGACCAGACCTATCGACCTGTAGGGGGCTGTGTGTAGTGGCTCATACCAAGCTTAACCTGTGTGGACTAGCCAACAAGCACGGCGGACTCACGTGGTACTGACCCTTGTGTTGGGTTTCAGTCCGTTAGCCCCTCCCTTCGCCTCTGCACCCGCGCCTAAAGCTGTCATGTGTCATCCGGCACCCCATACATGCCCACGGCCCATGGCTACCCCCCCCCCCCCCCCCTCCTGAGACAGACAGGGCCATGACAGGTCAGTTCAACAGAGCCGGACCATGGTCAAGGAAAGACACCGCCACACTGTCAGTACCCTGGTCTGTGCCCCTTCAGCGTACCACGACCGCCCCCGCACCGCTCCGGAATTGTTAGTGTTGTGGTCGTATACATAAACAGAGCCATATAAACAGCCCAGAAATGGCACGGAGAGAGCAAGAAAGGCTGCAGTTGGAGAGGTGAAGGGACAAGTGGAGGAGAGCGGGATGGGAGAGGAGGACGACGAAGATAACAACATAAATAAATAAACGCAGTTGGTCAGTCAGAGTCGGACTGGGCTAACGGAGAGAGTTGGGTACGATGGCAGAGGCCGGGGGAAGCTTTACAGAGCGGTGCGGCGCCGCAGACCAGTTAGGTCCGTGACAGGTGACCTTTAGTGTCGGTGTGATTTCGCGGGCTTCGTCCTGACAGCCAGCCGCGGGGCGCGGGGTGGCAGATTGAAAAAGCCCTAGTGGCCGGCGATAAACGGGCTGTTTGTCGTTGACCCACCTTGTTCAACTACTCTTTATATCAGTACTTCTCTGAATGACCCTCTTCACCCCAGTTTGATAGCCGTGGCATCTTCCGAACATTTACATCATGTCGTGAACTCGTTGGTACACTGATGTCCGGCAGGTGACTGTATTGTATTACATTGTATTGTAATGTGACCCTCCCGTGACCCAGAACGCATCTAACCCCTCTTCCTATCGCTTGTGCGACCCTGTCATGACGCTAACTGTACATTCTCCCTCACCTCGGCCGTCTATGCACTTACATGACTCTCCCACACCCCATCCCCTCCCCTCAGTCACCTGTGGACTGCTGGGCACGCTCCGACTCGGCGGCAGCTGTCCGGTGGACGCGCTCGGCTTGAGGCCGGCCGGAGGCGGCGGAGGTGCCGCCAGCGACCGGTGCAGGCTCGAGTTGTTGCCCGCCGGAGCCGGCGACGGCCCTGACGATGACGACTGGGCGGGCACCGGAGCGGGGGGAGGCGCCGATCCGCCCGGCCGCCGGTTGGGAGGGAGCTTGGCCGGTCCGCCAGCACCTGAGGGCAGAACGTCAGGTCAGGGTCAGCCGAGCACCGGCGAAGGTCTGGAGTATAGTTAGCACACCCCCATGACCCAGTGACGCACGAAATGTTTACCGTAAACCACCTGACAAACTCCGCGCCGCAGTTTCGTCCGTTTGCTGAGCCAACACTCCACGTCAGCGGCATTTAACCGCCCACAATTTACCAAACACAGCTGTATGAAACGGCCCCGACGGGCGCCAATATTTACCACGCCTCAGTTAATTAGTACCAGTCATTTAGCGGACAGTGTGGCCGGTATAAGGTCCCAGTGTGGGCGGTAGTGAATGAGCAGCATATGTCGTTAATCACGGGGGCGGCGGTAGAAGGGCGACCGCGGCGTTCTCGCACGTTGGTAAGACGCCGCCCTGTGAGCTGAATACAGCAGCTCGGGAGGGACCCGCTCTCAGAAGATACATTGTAGGACCACCCGAGTCCGCCCTGAGCCCGTAGCTGCGCGTTACACTAGTCTCCGGTAGACAGCGGCGCACAGTTAGTGCATGGATGGACGGCGGCGCCAGGCACCTGCTGCATCATTCTACCTAGCCAGGAATCGAGTCTATGTCTCCCGACCGAAACGGCGCCCAGCATGGCCCGAGCTGTCAGTGACACCCCCCCCCCCCCGCCCACCGTCGCGCCAGCCTACGGGCTTCCATCCATTGTACTGAGAGCGATGCTTTCACCACTCCGTACAGACCCCTCGTATCTCAGGACCTCAAAGACGTGGCGTTCACCCAGGTAATGTGGATACCGCAGAAACTGAACGTTTTCTCAGCCAATCCTGTCTAGCACGGCGGGCGTCTCGCAAATCAATCACCCCGGCAGTCGTCACTAATGGAGTATGAGCTATGGGACACACTACCACTGTGTTACGCAAAGACCGAACAGCGCTGCTCTGTCTGATAACTTACCGATCTCCGTCCGACCCCGGCCCTGACCGGTCGGCCGCAGCTTGGGCATCCCACCAGCGAACAGGCCGCCCAGGCCGGGCGGGCCGCCATTGGCGACCGGGGCGGCCCCGCCCCCGCCCGCGCCGGGCCGGCCCACGCCGTTACTGCCGCCGCCAGCCGGACCCGACGGCTTGACATTTCCTGTGGGACAGAGAGGGCGTCAGTGAGTGGTTACTGTTTGAGGGAAGGGTAGTGGCAGGTGAATAGGGCAGCGGATAGTCGTAGATGGTTAGACAGCTGATCACAACCATCCCAAAACTGGAAGAACATAGGTGTAGAAACAGGGAAACGTCTCACAAAACCCCAAATGGTAACACATTTCACAGACGCATACAAGAAATATTCCATTCCACTGGTTGCCTCAACTACAACTTCAGACATAATTACAGACACCAGCAGCAAGTCGTGTAACATCGCCCAACACACGAGTGATATGTGTAAACTACACAGAAACTCGCATGCCACTACATGTGACACATTCAGATCGCATAAACCACATCGCCGACCACCGATCAGCGCTGACTCACTATCGCCCAACCGTCGCGCGTTCCCGTCCATCACTTACACCCATACACCCCACACTCCACCCCATCCCTCTGTGTAACAATCAGCTGTTAGTGGTGTCAAGCCGTGACTGCTGTTCCGAGGTACCAGTTACTAGGCGACCTCAGATTACGACCGCCGACCCAGCCGCTGCTGGACGACAACCCTCTCACCCGGAGCCTGCCAATGCTGTCAGGCCCGTCTCGTTCGACGGATGGACGACTGGATGTTGTCAGTTGATGGGGGAAGGATCACTGATCCAGTGCCGATCCGAGGACGGCAGATGATATGCAGCGTAGATAGTGAGAGCTAATATTTGGAACTGAAAGGTCAGACGTGGTAGCCTGCGAGTGGTGCGGGTCGGTTGGGTGACATAAGCACTCAAAGCAGCCTCAAAACCAGGGAGATACAGTCTGGTCTTGCAAGGCACTACTTTGCCTGTCTGACTTCCTCTTGAAATCAACGGAAAGCCACCATTCAGTGAAAATCTTCACAAGTCACTACCCCGGCGTAAAGCCGATTCCAATCAGAGCACCAGCAGATAGCCGGATCGCAGCCGATACCGTCCCGGTGTTTGTCTAGGTCGCCTTGTGTGGGAAGGTACTCCGAGATTAGTTCGGTACTTCTGCGACAGCCAGGTACTGTGCGCCGCGCGGTCTCGGGGCTATCAGCCACAGAACGCGATAGGCCATCCAAAGAGCCGACCGGGACAGCAGGCCAACATGCTGCCTGGCTGGTATGATACGGACTGTTAAATTGCCAGGGTGCATGGCACTGACTTTGCTAGTTGGTTGACTGAACTGCTGAACGACCGTACTGCCCCACTGATTGACTGGACAGCCGATCGGCTAGTCTGATCGATTGACTGCTTATCGCATCGAACAGCTGGCCGATTGGATTTGCCCACTGCCACCACCGTGACCATGACCAAATAACTGATGACGTAGCTGCCCTTACCCGCCCTTCCCCGTCACTACCGTATCAGACGCGGACAGGGAGGAGGAAGGGAGGAGCGGTGACTGACATAAGCCGTGAGCGTCACCCCCAGCCCGGCCCGGCCCGTCACGGGAGGCCATATTCGGCCACACCAGACGGTAGGGGCAGTGCTCTGTGCAAGGGCTCCAACGGCGGTGGAAGCTACAACAGCTGCAGTAAGAGGAGAAGCAACAGTGGCGATCTATCCTAAGACGGCTTCACCGGCGGAGACTTGTCGATTATCATCAGGAGATAGCAGCACCGATCATCATCCGTTCCCCACCGTCCTCATTGCAGTGTCATGAAGTGACCCCGTTCCCCCTAACAACAGACTCCGGCGCCGAAGGTATATGACGTCACCAGGGCTGGCCGCCAGCCCGCCCGGGGAACACAAACATGGCACGGCTCCACTGCACGGCGCCGGCGGGGTAACGGCGCGGGGCAGCCCAGCCCGGTGCACGCCGCGCGCCACAAACACAGAGAAACCGACTCATTAGCCGAGTAAACGCCGCCCGCAGACTGCATTACCGCAGTAGCGCCGCACCAACTAACTGAAGCAGCCGACAGTGACGAGCGTGGTCAACACTCGTGCCGACAGACGAGGGGTGAGGGGCTCCCTCCTTCCCCAGGCGGCTGCACTGAAGGGGGAGGGGGTTCCTCTCCAGCCGGTAGGACCTCCAACTTCCAAGACCATCTGAGCAGCTTCCTTTCAGTAGTCCACTGAATCGACAGGTAAGTTAGAGCAAACCACGTGGCTAGCCGAGTCGAGCGGACGGTCGAATCACTGGCCAGTTCACTGGACCATGTCCCGTGCCCAGTACGCAGCTCAGCAGTCCAGACCCACTAGTCTGCCACCTGGCATCTCCAGTGTCGTTTCTACCGCCAACCAGCCGTTACAGCCGCCGAATTCACCGGGAGGACACACGGGTAGCATCTGCTGCTGGGATAGAGGTTTGAAATATGGTGGGTGAGAACAGCGGCAGAAGACACATATCTTCCGACAGTGTCCTCACTCAACCGGCATCCCTTTTCCGGCCTCTCCCAACACCCCTCCCGTCTGACTGGTGTCCGGTACGCAGCGGCAGACGCGCCATTCCATCACGTTAGGTGCGCGGCTCGGTAGCGCCCGGTAGCCTTGGTTGTCGGGTGCCAAGGTCGAGCCGGTGGCCGGCGGATGGAGCCACCGGTACGGCCGAGTGCCCCCTGCCCTCTGCTCTGCTCAGAGAGACCCGGCACGGCGGCCCGCATGGCGCCGGTCTGGGAACTGGTAACCCGCCACCACAGATTCACATCGGGGTGGGGATACCCGCAGTCGCCCCCGCCGTAACTAGCAGCAAACCAGGCGTCACGCTAACCCATCCCAGCTCACCCCAGCTCACCCCAACTCACCTACGCTCACCCCTGCTCACCAAACCGACCCGCCCGAGCTGCTAGTCAAGGCCGCGTCACCGACAGAGCATAGCGAACTGAGCACGGCGCTACGGTGGGCAGCCGGGCTGAACTGAGCAGGCGAGCTGAGTACGGGTTCAGTGGGACCATAATGGGTGGAGCCTCTAACAGGACGGAGAGCGGTGTCAGTGATGAGATAGATGTCACCAGCTGGAAGTTGTCCGCGAGGATGCAAGGTTCTTGTTCCGTAATTAGCAAAGCGAGTGATTTCGCACAGAAGTGATTTCGCATGCGCATATGACGCATATTGTATGTCACAGTCAATGGCACTGAGGGGTTGGCATTCCATGGCTTAACCTTAACGCCTTTTCCCGTAAACATCTAAAACCGCGCTGACCACCACACTCACTCTCTAGCACCCAGCATACCCGTGGTCTGACTCACCAGCAACAAGATGGGCCTTGCAATGTCATTTGCACAGCGCGGCCTTGGTCCAAACAGCCGGGCCAAAAGCGGTCCGTAACTTTGCATAACCCGCAGCGCAGTGCGGCTGGGGCACGCCGCCGTGCTGTGCTCTGGCCACGTGACTGCCGCAGCCGCGGCGACACACAGTACGAGCGGAGCTGCGCGAGGCGTTGACCGGAGGAAATACACGCACATCTTTGCCTCATCCTCCCCAGAAACAGAGCTCAACCTACTGTCCAGCTGTGTAAACCGCATGGCGGGGTGATATAACCAGTTGTGGGCGTGGCTTCCATGGCATGTCGTACATGAGTGAGCCCGTTCGTGACCCGCCCCTGCTATGTTTCTATCCAGATCTGGGAGCAGCTACCGTGTCTCGTCCACCAACACGTCCTGGGACCCGGCGGTCGATGGGGCGGCCGGAGGTGAGCAGTGGTTCGATGACTGAGAGGCCGCTCGATGACTGAGAACAAGGGACAGTACCAGTCCCTCTCAGAGGCTCCAACGGGCAGTACCCGTCCCTCTCCTCTCCCACATGGTCCAACAATTCGGTCCATCCTTTCTCAGCCAGTCCAACAGTCTGGTACTGCCTCTCTCGGCCGGCTCACACTCCAACGAGCGGCGCCTGGCTCAGCTCGTGAGCTCGCGGGACGGCACTCTAGCTCAGTCCAGCGGGCAGCGCTTTGGCTCAGCTCGCGGGGCGGCGCCCGTCCGACAGAGCAGTAACCGCCGCGCTCGCTGCCGCGGACCGATACCATCGCAGGTGCTGGTTACGTCACGAGAGACCATCTCCAGCGGCGGTCCGCGCGAGAGAAACACGCTGCTGTCCGCACCTAGCCGACACACAAACGGGAAGTCCAGAGAGGCTGCCGGGGGCAGCAGGAAGCTCGAGTGAATGCAATCACTCGTTACGTCTTCTAGCGACGCCTTTGTTCGGTGATTTTTCCATTGTGAAATCGCCCAGCTGCGCACAGAAGTGGTGAGCGCGCCACTGCAAAACTACAGATGTTTGGCATTTTGCAGTGCAGCCAACGGGACAGGCGCGGCGTTTCAACATCTCATCCCTGAGGACGGGACCCAGCCACAACAGACAGACTGAATGAAGAGCAGCGGGAAAACGCTGCAAGTTTACAACGTACAAATAAAGCCAGTATGGCTGGCACCAGTCAGGCAATACTGCATGACGGTGCGTATTTTAGCACAGTTCTGAAAGGCGGAATAACGCAATATTTACTATTTGTATTCAACTCAGCACCCAAATCGCAGGGAGGAGTCATGCACCTCAGGCAGATTTTATGCAGATATGAATAAAGCCGCGGCTATGAAAATTCTGACCCCAGCCCCTCTATCATACTTGCTAATCGTATCCGTTTCACTAACCTCACGCGCCGTGGCAACAGGCACGCGACAGAATCGCACGGGTCGAGATCGTGCGCTTTAACCACAGGAGACCTGGCATTGTTCCCATGGGGAGACAGGAGCAGTCCCCAAGAAGACAGAGGGAGCCACCGTTGCCGTTCGGTGATCAGGTGATCACCGTGGGATAGAACGGTGTCGCGATCACCATAGAAGTAGCAGGTAAGGTGACCACAGCGACACCGTCAGCGACTAGCCCTACCGAGGATAGTTCGCAGAGGAGCGTGCAGTGATGAGACGAAACTGTTGAGACGGAAGGTGTGACGGAAGCAGTGACGTTGAGTGACGAAGGTTAAAAACGAGGGACCTTGCTGACCCAAAGTGCAGTGAGGTTCCGCTGGGTAAAGCCAGAAGCTCAAAGTAAGCTAAATGACGAAGTGACACCAGTTGAAGCTAAGTGACGCTGCGTCACCAAAAGTGACAGTAGGTGACGTCGTGCTCCACTGATGAGTGGTGACGTCTGTCTCTCCTGCCAACTAGATAAAAACGTGCCGCACGCGTCCCGGCACAGTTGGTCCCAATGAAACAGGTCACGCAACCGAGACAGCCTCACCACCGGAAAAGGGGACAAAACACGATAGTGGGGTCAAAACATCACATAAAAACTGGAGGTCACCGTATCAAACTATTAAAAATCATCACAAATCGATAGTTTGTGTTATGACAGCACGTCTCTACTTTGATTCCCTCTCAATGTTTGACCCCCAGCCCGCCAGGTCCGCCCACCCGCGGTCGGTCGATCGGCCCTAACAGGCGCCGATTGACGTGGGTGT